TGCTCCTCCTCCCCCTGCTCCTCCCTCTGATCCTCCACCTGTTGCTCCTCCCCCTGCTGCTCCTCCACCTGTTGCTCCCTCTGTTGCTGCTCATCCGGCTGTTGCTCCTGCACCTGCTGCTCCTCTCCACGCGGCCGAGTCTGGGATCGCAATCCAGATCGTGTGCCTCGAACATACGGGGCGTCCTCTCTCCTCGTCCAAGACCTGTCAGAGTCCGACCTCTCGTCCACCTACTCCTCGCCGGGAATGTCCTCCACCTCCTCCTCGTCCTCATCCTCAGCGTCGTCCTCCTCGCCGTCCTCCTCCTCCTCGACCTCCTCCGCATGCCCTAATCTTTGCACGGACCTCGATGTCGAAGGCCCAGCTAGATCGTGGCGAACAGTGGTGCTGCCCACCGCAGAACAAGTGCCCTGCCCACCGCAGAACAAGTGCCCTGCCCACCGCAGAACAAGTGCCCTGCCCACCGCAGAACAAGTGCCCTGCCCACCGCAGAACAAGTGCCCTCAACAGCAGGCCGGTTGTCATCAACGGCCTCGATGATATTCGCCATGTCACCCCCCAAGTCCTCGTCCTCCCAATCAGCTAAGAGCCCCAACCACCCTCCTGCTATCGTGGGGCCGTCATCTCCCCTTCTCTTGAGCCTCAAGCTTCAGTGCGAGGACACCAATCTGTTGGTGCGCTGGTGGTGCAACTTGTTCCAGCACTTCGTCTGCACGAGAGCCCAAGTCCTCCAATTCCTCTCTGCAGGAGAGGAAGTCGTCCAGATAGACAGCACCCTGATCGCCAGCTCACGGATCTCCGGATGCCCTGCCCCGTGCGCCTCCAACCACAAAACCGCATTGTCCTTTGCAGGCCGTTTCTTTTCCTGAGGGGTGCCGAGGACTCCTCAACCGAACTGGAAGTCGTAGAACTGGTCCATGCAGTCGTCAAATCTCGTGCTTCCCTTTTTTCCAATCAGCCTCTCCACCACACTCTCAAATTGTGCCATGAGGTCCACATTACTGAAAACAGTAATGTCCCTCAACTGAGGATCCAACAACCGAGCAACAATGTGGATGGGGCTGAGCAGCATGTTCCGTCCTGTTCCCGACTTCCTTGAGCTGTCATCTTGCTGCTCTGCAGTAAGGGGGGCTGATCGAACGAAGCCGGGCAGTTTGCACGCCATATCATAGATGCGGGACAAGTAGTGGACATCTTTGTCAACCTCGCGCAACACGTCATAAGGCCCCTTCATAACGGCGGTCAGATTCCTGACATCAGCCCAGTAGGCCTTGTCAAGAACTGTCTCCTCCATGAAGAAGGCCTTGGCCCTGATGTCCCCTCGCCACACCTGCGCCTCCCATTCCTGCCCGGTGACAATCCATTTGATGGCCTTCTCGCAGACCTCCAGCCGGTGCAGCATCACGTAGTGCATCCCGAACCTCGTCTGCGCCGGTCGGAGGAGGCAGCTGCACTTCAAGTTCGGGAACTTGACAAGTGTCATTCACAACGCTGATCTGGGCCACCTATGAACCCAGAAGAAGTTGAACACTTTATTCGCCTTACTAATGATCTCAGCCGCCCACTCCTTTCTTGCAAATGTCGTGCATGAGGAGGTCCATGCAGTGAGCGGTGCAAGGGATCCAGTATATTTGGCTGAACTCAGGGTCCTCCCTCAGCATCCTCGCAACACTCGTGTTGCCTGCAAAAGAGTCCATGCAGATAGCCGCGATCTTCTCCACCCCCCACTCCTTGAAGAACCGCTTCCATTCGACAACGACAATTGGTGAGTCCTTGTCCCCTTCGCTGGCATCCTCACGCTTGATGAAAACAGGCTTCAACCGACCTGCAAGTATGTAGTTCATAAGCAATCGACCACAAATGTTTGTGGTCCCATCGGTTATGAACGTGCAGCCAGTCACCTGCCAGTCGTCATGGATCGCCTGGTCCTCGTTCTCCAACCTCTTGTTAAGGCGATCCAACAATCGACACCTGAGAGGGTTGTACCCAGTAGGCACAAGAGGGTGACTCGCTGCAGGTTTTGGACCGTAACACGCCCGTGTGAACTTCTTGAAGCTCCTGCTCTTGGCTGCGTTGAACGGGATCGCGTTCTCCACAAAGAACTCACAGCAGGAGTCATCAATCTCCTCTTGCCTTGGGTTCTTCGCGAACCTCTTGATGCTCGTCTGCCTTCCTGGCCTGCGTGTGCGGGCCCCCTGCATCACAGCTTGTGAGGATGCAGGCCTCCCTCCATCGGCGGATCCTCCTGTCACAACGCCCCTCGTCCCCTCGTCCATTCCTTCCACACCCTCCCCACCACGTGCCTCCTCAAGCTCATTAGCAATCCCACCTCCCCCTCCTTCTCCATCACCTGCCACGTTAGGAACGTCGTCGTCGTCATCGTCCCTGTCCTGCTCCAGCGCTGTTTGCACCCTCGCGAGCAATTTCGGTGGCAGTTTTGCACCGATGCGATGCAGCCTCTTCCAAATGGAGAGGTTCGAACCCGGACACCTGGCTGACGCCCTCGCCGGAATGAAGTGATCTGGTGCACGCTTCCGGTTCCCTTTGTATTCCTTGTTGCAAAGCTTGCAGCACAACCTTCTAAACCCGCGAGAATTGTCTGGCAGCATCTGCCCAGGAGTCACCCAACTCCACAACACATGGTCCCTTGGGCAGGCCATGTCCTCCTCGAATGGCCCCTCTGCTCCGTCTTCCATGTCACAGGACGGTATACATGGCAAGCAGCAATGTGGGGGGCACAAACGTGGGGCTGCTACAGCGGGAACTGCTGATGTGGCACCTTCTCACGTGGCAGTTGTCGACGTGGCACCTGCTGATGTGGCACCTGCTTACGTGCGACCTGCGGACGTGGCACCTTCTCACGTGGCAATTGCGGACGTGGCACCTGCTGACGTGGCACCTGCTCACGTGGCAGTTGCTGATGTGGCACTTGCTAACGTGGCTGCTCCTGTCGTTGGCAGCATTTAAGGTGGCAGCTGCACATCCTCCTGCTGCAGTGCCAACTGTGGTCCTGCGCAGACGCGACACGGTGCATGGGTGTAAGAATTGGAAATGTAAAAAACAAAAAAAAATTGAAAAAAGAAAACGACATCGAGGACAACGACAGGAGGAAGAATAAGAAGAAGAAGAGATGGAGGATGACGAGGAGGAGGGAAGAAGATGAAGAAGTACAAGAAGGGAGGACTAGGAGAGAAGAAGGAGAAGAAGAGGAGACGGAGGACGAGGAGAAAAGAAGAAAAAGAAGTTGAAGAACAAGAGGAGGAGAGGAAGAAGATGAGGAGGAGAAGAAGAAGTAGAAGATGAGGAGTAGGAGAAGAAGAAGAAGAAGAAGAGGAGGAGGAGGAGAAGAAGAAGAAGAAGATGACAAAAAGGGGAGGAAGACGCCGTTTATCTTCTTCTTCTTCTTCTTCTTCTCCTCCTCCTATTCCTCGTCTTCCTCCCCCTTTCGTCATCTTCTTCTTCTTCATCTTCTTCTCCTCCTCTTCTTCTTCTTCTCCTCCTCATCCTCATCTTCTTCCTCGTCGGGACCACAAAGTGCTGACGTAGCACCCGCACGTCAAATGCTTACGTGGCAGCCGCGTGTTGACATGGCACCCTCACGTCGAGTGTTGACGTGGCAGCCGCATGCTGACGTGGCAGCCGCACGGCGATTACGAGATGACGAGGAGTTGGACAAGAGGAGGAGGAGAAGAAGAAGAAGAAGAAGAAGAAGAAGCGCGTGCTGATGTGGCAGCCGCGCGGCGATTACGACATGACGACGAGGAGGAGTTGCAGAAGAGAAGAAGAAGAAGAAGAAGCAAAGATGGCGAGGAGGAGTTGGAGAAGAGGAGTTTGAGACGAGGAGGAGGAGTTGGAGAAGATGGCGAGGAGGAGTTCGAGACGAGGAGGAGTTGGAGAAGAGGAGGAGGAGGAGAAGAAGAAGAAGAAGAAGAAGAAGAAGAAGAAGAAGAAGAAGAAGATTTAAAAAAAACAAAAAAAGCTCGTGCTGATGTGGCAGCTGTGATGCCCCAACCTCACGCCCAGCGTTTCCTGATCGGAGTGGGATGGGGGCCCGGAAGTGCGAAAAAGGGGGTGTGCCAAGGATTTTAGGAAAGTGGGGGTGGAGTCCCAGGACAGAACTAAGATCTCATGTGGCAAGTTTCGGGGGTAAAAGTGCAAGAGGGCAAGCGCAGGCCGCGCGCGGCGTGCCGGGTTGTACGAGCGAACAGACCGCCTCTTAGACTCGGTGTAAAGAAATGGAAGCTGCTCATGTCGTGCGGCATAGGGAAGATGGCATGCGCAGGGTAACCCGGGGATAAGAGTCCCGACACATTCACGTTGTTAACAACTCTAAAGACTTCTTGCATTCTCGAATTAAGTCCCCTTCGGCATAGTCCCTGTCGTCGATGTCGATCATGTTTTGTTATGCCTTGGGCCCGAGAGAGGGGAACTACCTGTGGTTTCGCCTTTGCGGTCGGTCACGGACCTGATGGACAGGATGCGCGCTATGGGTATCGTGCTGTCTGATCAACTGCTGTCGTCGATCGCTACAAACTTCGGAATCAGATGATGAGGATCTCAGCTGGAGGTTGCGTGCCCGCCGTTCGGACTGCGTTTGGGTTCGGCGAACGAACCCCGAGGCTCAATACTTGCTGTCTCGCTGGCACTCAGAGTAGGGGGTTTGAGGCCAATAGGGAGTGATAGCGTGCCACGGAATGATGGCGAGGTGATGGAAGGGCAGCACCACTCAGTACGGTGGGCAGTGAGTTATTAGGTTCGGAGAAGACGTGGCTCGTGCGGGACTCAAGGAATTCGGCTGTGTAAGGAACAACTTCCAATGCCCTTCCTATATCCCAGTCGCACACGCAGTCGTCTCGTCGTTGGTAAGGGAATCTCGGAGGGTCGGGGCAGGGCTGAGCGAGGAAGTACGCGTTCTTTCGTTCCCAATATTCCCGATTTTCAGGGTCCCGCAAGCTTTCGCGGTCGGTAATGCGAAACATCCTGTCAATCCAGCAGAAATGCCGTCATGGCCCGCGCGCAGATCTTGCAGACACGCGTGTACGCGCCGTCCCTTTCGGTCGGGCCTACACGTGCATGCACAGGATCTGTTCACGGCTAAGTGAGGGGCTGGTTCCGGGTGAGCAGGAGTGGGCGCAAGCAAGGATCGATCAGACGATGCGATCTGGGTTCGCTTAAATCAAATTTCGTCACTTTCTAATGCCCATCACCGTTGGCGTTTGTCGCGCGCGACCCCTCAGCTCCTCCCGAATAGTCAATCGCGAACAACTAATTATGGGTCTGTACGAGCGCGACTTCTGCGTACACCTATCTGTTCTACCATTATGCATTCATTAAAACACGAAATTCCCCTCAGACTCGTTCATGTTTGGCGACGGCAAGGTAATCGACAAAAGTGCATATCTTAGATTGAAAGGAGAAACGACATGCATTCGAACAGAAACCATCGATCTTGCAAGAAATTGAGAAGTGCAATCACGCTACAAACGGAGAGTGAGAAAGTACGAGCATTCATCGGACTGTCACTCATGCAAGCTTGACAAACTGGGAAACAAATGATGACGCATACCAAAATGCAAACATAATTCGCAAAAAAAAATCTGAAGTTGCCGCAACAAAATTGCCTAGGGCGGAAATCCAAAATTTTTACAGGAAGGACGAAGAAAAAAAAAACAAAAGGAAAAGACACCATCCCGATCTCTCTCTCTCTCTCTCTCTCTCTCTCTCTCTCTCTCTCTCTCTCTCTCTCTCTCTCTTCCCGTTGCGGGCAGTCCGTCGCCTCGTATCAACACCCACGATACCGGCAGTCCGTCGCCGCGTATCTACACCAAGTTGTCACCCTACTTGGCTCAAGCATGCAACCCAAGTTCGCCCGTGCGCCACAGTCCGTCGCGGCCCGGCACGTCAACCCCACATAACCGACACCAGCTCGTCGGATCGCCCAACTCTCACACTCACTCACCTTCCAACTTGCTCGTTAGCCGACCCTCACTGATCGCGCTAACCTCAAAATTCTTAGAGAGAGAACTAATCGCGCTTGCGGAATTTATAGCATGAATGCTCGTGCACCCAAGTGATGAGAAGGAGAGGAGAGGAAGTGCCTACGTCTGCATGTACAGGTCACGGCGCGGGGGACGGAGCGACTCTCCACGCATCGATCGAGGCATGCAAACGTGGGAACCACTTAGAATAGAGGAAGAGAGTGTGCATGCTAAGACGAGGTGGGAAAAAAGGAAACGCAAAGGCCATAAAGAACAAGAAGATTACAGTTGCGATTGCGCCCGCTAAAAACTACAGTTACACACAGGATTAAGGCGCGGATGGAAATCAGAGCCCACACCTTGTCGAGGCATAGTGCGTGCGAGCAAGAAGCGTCGTGCAACCAAATTGCAAAGTGCCTAAATTCCTAGTCTAAATCCTTATTGCCAAAGAAAATTCCAAAGAAAAACAGTTCCGAGAGCCTGCGGGGGTTCGACACTAGTTCGAATTTTAAAAACGAAAATTCTCGCGCGCTAGTTGCGCCAAAATTCCTTGTACTCACAGCAGAACAAGAAAGAAGCTATGGCAACCGTTATTTCTCGCGCTCGCTTTGGCGTGGTCACTCAATCGTCAGCGCGGGGCTTTCCCGGCACTGGCCCAACGAATTCCAACAAAAACGAAAAAGAAACGAGGGCATCCATGCAACTTCCCCCACCCGGTCCCTGTTTACGCCCGTCACCCATCGAAGCCTTCCCGTTTCCCCTCAGCAGCCTCGCGCAAGAAGTCGTGTGGTTACAGATGATTGTTCGTCACAGCGCGGCGATGTAACATGTTGAGGAGTTGGAGAAGAGGAGGTGGAGGAGGAGGAGGAGGAGAAGAAGAAGAAGAAGAAGAAGAAGAAGAAGAAGAAGGCGAGGAGGAGGAGAAGAAGGAGATGAGTCGGATGACGAGTAGGAGGAGGAGAAGAAGAAGAAGAAGATGACGAGTAGGAGGAGAGCAGAAAAAGAAGAAGAAGAACAAGAACTTTAAGAAGAAAAAAAAAGTGCGTGCTGACGTGGCAGGCGCGCGGCGATGAAGAGATGACGAGGAGGAGGAGTTGGAGAAGAGGAGGGGGAGGAGGAGGAGAAGAAGAAGAAGAAGAAGAAGAAGATGGCAACTAGGGGGAGAAGAAAAAGAAAAAGAAGAAGAAGTGGGGGGCTTGGGGGGCGGGGAGCTGAGGAGAGAGATGGGCGACGAGGGGATCTCCCTCTCTCTCTCTCTCACACACACACACATACACACACACACACATACTCACACACACACGGCGGGGTATGGCTGCGGACTCACCTGCACAACCACCTCCTCTGTGCGCTGCTTCTCCAGCTGAGGGGGAACACGCGTTGGAGTTCGATTTCGAATTCGAAAACGACCCCCCCCCCCCCCCCCTGCCCCCCGCCTTGACCTGCTAGACCACCCCTGGCCTCCCCAAGGCCCCAAAACCCCCGCCAGAACCACCGTCGATGACCGGTATTGGCCTCTGCGAACAACGTTCGCGGCCTCTGAAAACGCGTTCTCGCGGACGTCTTCGCGGCCGTGTTCGCGCGGACGGGGAGCACCACGAACAGGTTTTCCGTGCTACACAGAAGAGAACTATAAGTTGGAATTTGCTAAGTTTGAGGTGATATATCTTGGGCATATAGTAAATGAAGAAGGATTAAGGCCATAAGAAATCAAAATTACTGTAATCTGAGATTGGCCCAGACCCAAAATTGTCACTGATCTGCGATCCTTCTTAGGACTTGCTAGCTATTATAGAAAGTTTGTGAGGAACTTCTTCGTTATAGCTGCACCCATTAGAAGGTTGCTTAAGAAAGAGAAACCTTGGTTATTGGATGAAGATTGTGAGTCTGCATTCAAGAAGTTGAAGCACATGCTAACTCACTACCCTGTTTTGAAGGTTGTTGCCTCGTCACTCCCTTTCATTGTGACAACTGATGCTAGTGAGTTTGAGATCGAGGTTGTGATACAGCAGGATGATGAGAAGGGGTATAGACTACTCTTGGAAATGGATGATTAGAAGGGGTATAGACTATACCTATTGAGTTCATGTCTAAACGCTTTTCGTCTGATAAAGTAGCTAACTCAACCTACGAAAGGGAATTGTATGCCTTGGTTGAAGCGCTGGACACTTGGAAACACTACTTGCTTGGATGGCACTTCACGGTTTATTTTGACCATTCAACCCTGAAGTGAATTAAGACTCAACCACGAATCTCCAACAAGTTAGTGAGATCGTCTCTATTCATCGACACATTTTATTTTGAACTAAAAACAATTATAGGAAAATCGAATGTTGTTGTTGATGCTTTGTTTATGCGCTCTGATTTCTTTGGTTCAATTGTTTCCTACCGTGACATTGGGTTAGAGTTGAAAAAATAGATCCGACAAGGGTATGCTAGGGATCCTATATGGACTCCTATTATCCAAACCCTACAAAAAAATCTTGAACTCTTGCCTGAATATCATATGACTGACGACTTATGGATAAAACCGAAGACAGACTTAGCATTCCTCACAAAGAAGAAATTAAAAGTATGATTATTGGGGAATGTCATGACAGTGAAGGACACTTCATGTTTAAACGACCACTACCTTTCTCAGTGTTGGGAAAAACGGGAACATGCATTACACCGCATTTATTGGGGGTCCCGAGAAGGCTCATGAAAAAGAGAGTGTTTGGGCCTTGTTGGCCTGTACAGAAAAAAAAAGCCACACTGGGGAAAGGAAGGACGTCGAGGAAGAGCGTGAAGGTGGTGTGCTGACATCAATGCTTGAAGGAACCCATCTACCCAGAATAACAACTTTTTTTTTTTCCTTTGCCTTTTGATGTCGTTTTAGTGCCCTGCCAACCAGGCAAGGCGGAATCCACGAACAACTGACACTTTGCAACGAAGGGGGCACTCTCGCATGTACTCGAGATTTTGTATCCAGTTGTTTTCACGTGACAAGAGAATTTTTTTTTTTTTTCCCCTTCGTTTTTGTCCTCCTGTAACGGCCCGTTGGAAG